TACATTTGTCATTTGTCTTCATAGTGTAGAGCAATATCATGGTAAAATCAGGCATTAAATGCCATCAAAATATAATTGAGGTGATAGCTCTCTACAGAGACATGCCACAATCTTAGCACAATTTCCTCAAAGATCAGGCAAATTCTTGCAAAAGTCGACCAGCGATTGTATCACAAATTAAGTGACAGTGGAAAGGAGAAGGTCACCATTCACTTCATATCAATCAACAGCTGTCAGCTCTGATTTCCAAGCTCAAACAGGACCTTTCCACAGACGAAGGGCCAAAAGAGTAAGACTCCACATCTTCCCTGAAAGGCACAAATGAGCTGACTTGTGTCTCATGTGGGCCTGAAAGCCTATTTATTTCCAGCTCCAGAATCAATTAATTCCTGCATTATCCCCTGGATTCCTCTATTCAGAGCAGCCAAATGACTGGAGCAGCCTTGCATGAAACCAATTTCCAACTTTCAATCCACGACACACCACAGAACCCCCTACTGGTCCTTGTCCAAAATACAGCCTCACTGCCCTTCAGTTTGTACATTAGCTACAACTGTTACAATCTGTTTAAAGGGAAGTCAAACAACTTACAACAGATTATAACTAGAATCTAGAAGAATAGAAACCATTCTTTCCAAAAAAAATCTGCACCCAAATAAACTCTAAAATGTGTTCCAAGTCCCATTTCCTAGAGGTTTCCTGAAGGTGTTGTAAAACTCTGGCTCTAATCATTTGAGTTATGCTGCTAACAGACAGACAGACCCAGTGAAAACATTAATACAAATGAAATAAATGCAAAACGCAAGCTCCTTTATGATACTGCAGATAGAAATATGAACGTATTGTGTCTTTAATCATAACATGGCACCTACAATGTCCTGTCCAACAAAAGTGACACTTTAAACAGTGAAGAGAAAAGGGAAAGACATGAGACAAGACAGACTGTACAAAGGGATGGTCAGATTTCCAGCCTTGGCCAATTAGCCGCAAAAACTCTTTCTTCTTAGAACTTGTCAGCATGAAAGGATCACCAGTTCTCTGTCAGAGTTGGGCCTTTATCTTCTATCGCTAGATCCTGTCCAGACTTTGACCACATATGGACGCACGCATACACACAGCCTTTAATTTTCACATGAACAAGTTACATTTTGTGCTTTCCCTTTTTGTTCCTGTCATTTTTGTGTACGCCTGTCAGCACACAGCCATCTAAACTTCCACACACAAACTCCAGCATGCGTATACAGAATCAGTCAAACCTCACATGAACCACTCTCCTCTGATGTGCCCTCTGCTGCTGCCAGGGTCTGACTGATGTGATTGTTAGTTCTGGAGGAGGGCTCTCTTTAATTGAAGTGTATGTGTTTATGTGTGAGTGAGCGTGTGAGCGTGTGTGTCTGTATGTGTGTGCGTGTGTCTGTGTGCGTGGAGCTATCTGTCCAGAGCATCGCCTGGCCATGACTGCTATTGTTTGGCCTATCAGACAAGCTGTCAAGTGCTCCCTCTCTCACTCTCCACTGCTTTGTGTTCATGTTACAATAAGCGGGAATGTATAAGGCCTGAAGGTCACTGAAGCCCACAGTCAAACCATCTTGTGAAGGGTGCGTGCACTGTCTCCTAACAATGGAACACAACACTACAAGCTATCCATGAGTCACATTAAGAGCAATTTGATGACCATCCATGACAACATATCACTGGCAATGTGCAAGGTCACTTCCTCTTGGTCAGATTGCCTATGCTGACTACCTTATCCAATTACTTAATACAGCTAGTGCAAGAGTCATGTTTATGTGCAAGGCATATCTCCCAGAGGCCACTGTTACATATATAAAAGTGTCTTAGTACATGGGAGGGCTGTACAGAACAATTATTTTGATCGATTTGTTGGCTGATTATTTTTTCAGATTCCGAAAGTTCAGCGAATATGGGATTTATCGTATGCATGACCATTTCACAGTCATTTTACAATTATTTGAGTCATAAAACCACCAGCCTGTTTAAGTATATGCAAGTTTCATAAAGCGATTGATCAATAACAAAATTGATTGACAAAAATTTACAAAAGTTTCAATTAATTTATGAACTTGTTAGAGCCAGAGTATGTGGTGTGAAAAAGTGTAATATTATTTTGTTGTCAAGAGTCGTGACAATTATGCTCAATGAAACAGGTAAATTAAGTTAGTGAATTGTATCATCAAACCAAAAGGGTATATGCCAGTACTTCCAAACTTTCTCCCAAACTTTCTCTGCTTTTGTGCCTATCTGCATACCTCCATCTGCCTGGTGTGCATTATCAGTTTCAGATCTCTCCCTGTAAAAGTTGGAAGAGACGGGAGGTGCAGTCAGCCTCTTTGTGAAGCCTTCTCCCCTCAGACGGTCGGGGATCGATCAGCCAGTCGCTCCAATCGGCTGCCTCTTTTGTGCACCCAGTCTGGCTTTGAACGGCCCCTGCCCTGTTTATCTCCCTCACGTCTCGAGCTGGCTACATGCTCTTAATTAAACATGCCGCGTGGCTATTAATTGTCAACCAGATTCAATTTGTTCCCCAGGCAGTCAGTGAATGGGCCTCTCCCGCCAGAACAAAGGTGCCCGAACAGCCGTGTCAGGGCGGGACAAAAGGCCCAAGGCATAACTATCTGCTCACTGCTCACTGCCAGAGCGCTGAATGAGCTGCCCTCAGGTTTTAAAAGCAGGTACCTTAGAGCCACGCTGAGAAATAGTGGTGCTTTTCAAGATATGACAAAAAGGAATATAATACGATCAATAGTTGTCATGGTGTGGATTTTGTTATTTTGTACTTTGGTTTTATTTTGACATTTGTTCTCTGTGGTTGGTTTTAGTTTGACTTCCTGTCCTGTTTCCCCTGTCTTGATTGCCTGCCCCGCCCTGATGTGTTTCACCTTTGTCTCTCTGTGTCTATTTGTACCCTGTGCTTCTCTCCCCTTGTTGCTGGTCCATTGTATTGTCTATGTGTCTGTCTGTCTGTTTTCCGGGTTCCTGTTTGGATTTTGAGTTTGTTTTCAACTTGGACTTATTTATTAAATCATTATTTTTTGCATTCCTGCATTTCAGTCCTCTTTCATCTCACTCCTCGTGACAATAATAAAACTATCAAAAGGATAAGCATTTGTATACAGCCACAGTTGTAAAGTAGACACTGAACTTTAAAAGCAAGAAATGTCATCTTACAAACAACTTTGAAATCGCAACAAAAACTGTAAAATAAATGTAATGAAATCCATGCAAAGAGTCCCTATATCTCTCAAAACTGGTTTGCATGTACATGTTATGTTGGTATCTGTCACTTCTTTATCCGTTCAGCTCTCAGTACAAAGAAGACCGCATATTGTGTCCTGATTAGTTCAGATAACGTAACTTAAACACTTTCTTTTGGGACAAACTCCAGCTTTGAATACAGCTAACACACTCACTCTTACAAGTACAAGTTTTTTCTGAAAAATTTTGCAACATATACCACACAGGGTGTCTCCAAAAACTGCTCTCAATCATCCATATTTTGAATCTCAGTTAGGTCCCCTTTTTTCTTGATGTGACAATTCTTTTGACAAATTGGAGGAACAAATAAATAAATAAGGCAATGACTGCTCATATGAATCTGGGAGTAAGCAGCTGCCAAGGCGTAATATAATTCACGGCCATGCATCACTGTTATACTGGAAACGGTTCCAGCGCCCAGCCAGAACCCGCCGAGCTGAGCCACTTGCCAACGCATTCATCTCCTTGTCCGTCCCACCTGTCACTCACTCAAACCTTCACCCCAATCATGGGCTCCGGTTCTTTCCCCAAATCTACGTTGCCAAACTCAGATGATGCCAAAGAGGTCTGGCGACTGCTGCTGTGTCACTGCCCAAACCCGTCCACAAAACAACAATAAACCACCCCCCTTGTGCTTTCTAAATCACAAAGGCTAAAGATGCCAAATGCAAGCTCACCACAGATACCCAAACAGTGGCCTTGTAAGGGCAGAGCATGTAAAGGAGCATTGTGCAACTTAGGAGATGGAGATACTGTATTGTTACCTAGCATTTTATTCAATTCTAGGATTTTAAATTGTCAGACCCCATCTATAAGCTTTGCGTCCTTTTTTCAAAATTTCACAAAGATATGCCCACCATTTTAATATCTGAGATTAGGTGAGATGCCATCACTAGCTTCTTTCTATGGAGGAAAGTTTAACACTGAAAAATATTCAAGGTAAACATCTACATGTAGACAAGCCAGTGGCAGACAAAAGGAACACCTTTAAGGGATGTATGCAATGGGAATCTACCATTTTCCCCTGCTCGTAAGGTAGATTTATTTTTCGGATCGAGACAGAATAGTTCAAACATAACACCACAGAATACATAATAGGATTCGAGCCGAGGCACTCAAAATAGCAAGAGATCTTTCCTTGCCCTTCCCCTGTTTCTACAATCCCAATATTTTGCTGCTGTTGAACTTACTGAGCAGTTGAGGAATTACTTATTTAAAAGATAAGGTTTCCTCTGTTGTCAGCAAAAAAAGGCCTCTTGTCCATAACGGGAGAAAACCAATGCAGTGTGAAATCAAAGGTCACCCGCAGACAAATAGCACTAACAGCGAGAGCAGAGGTGACAAACGCTCCCACTCGGTGTTCACCAAATTAATTAAGAGCCCAAGACATGGTATCGGCAACACAAAGGAGAACAGGCGGGCTGGGTGTTGTTTCAGCAAGGCTTACAGAGGAACAAACACACTCCCTGTCTCTCCATTGTAATCAAGGGATATTTACCAGCGCCTTTCCCCATGATACTTCCATTGAATGTTTTATATGGCAGAGTAGAGAAGGAGTTGATCTCAATCTAGATGCCTGGCTCCAGCGTGCGTGCTTCGGCTTCACAGCTCCGCCTTGAGCCCAGGATCCTTGCGGCATAGTATTAAACGACTAACCCCAGGCAGCCAGCTAATCCACAGCATTTGCAGGTGTCTCTATCTGGCCATGACCATGCGATAAGCCCATGCCTAGAGGAGAGACCAGCAAGCAACAAACACTACATCCGCGTGAGAGTGTGTTTGTGCATCTGGTCCGCAGTCAGTCACCCAGTCAGGGAGATGAGCTGAGAACAGCAGCTCTGAGCCCCAGCCCGGGTAATGACGGCTCAGCTGGGAGCCACTAGTAAAAAAAAAACATCTGCATCCTTCCTTATCTCTGCACTGGAAGCACAAAAACAACACACAGATCATTTAGCGGATTACCTGAACTAAGTTGCTACTTTGTGTTCTTCACAAATAAGTCTAGTGGAAATGTTTACTGCTGAGACCAAGAACTTATCACTCTTGGAAACCCCTCGGAAGAGCACTCCATCAAATATTAATAACCAACCTTCATGGCTTTTATGACAAAATGATTACCTAATACAGTGAATGAAAAAGCATGGGGTCCTGTGCCCTTGTTGCTGAATTATGTGAAGGGGAACTGGTTGTGGAACAGTCCTGATTACATGTAAGGTCATGTGCTCCTGTAGCTTTTAAGACAAGACAAGTTTATTTATATAGCACAATTCATACACAAGGCAACTCAAAGTGCTTTAGCCTGTTAATGGTCATTTACTGCACATCTAGTGAGTGCGTATGACAGTGCTTTATGTGAGCTCACCCCCCAGAAAGAGGTAGTGCCACCCTGGTCTCACCGCCTCCACCTCTCATCCATCCCGTCGTCTTGTCTAATTAAACATCGTTAACATTCATCCCAAGGTCTTATGCAGATGAGCACAGAGGGAATGCAGTGCAGTGCACATTAAGAAAACAACTTTGGGGGGGTTGGGGGGGTGGCTCAGAGGTGAGCACCGGGACATGATGAGCTTGTATCTGAATTGAGACGTGTCTGGATATCTCCGATTTGACCTCATTCATCAATTAATTACCACCATTAGCAGGAGGTGATGTGGAACCAAGCTGAAATCATTGCACCGTAGCATTAGCAGCCATTGTTGACTGTGTGTGGCAGGCAAACATGGGAGACAGATCATCAGAAATCATCATGCGTCTTAAATGTGGACTAAATAACTTTTGTGATTGAGGGTCTGGACAAACAGGCCAAATCACAGGTTTGTTAAGAGGTCCCCTACTATCAGTAAAAATACATGTTATCCCCCCTCCCTAGTCACCTCTGACCACCGTAGAAGCTGCACACTTTTATACTCTGCCAAACCCAAAACGGGTAACTTAATGTCTCGTTGGACTAGAGCAGTGACAGGATCCAGCTCCAGTGTTACATGATGCCTCCTGCAGAGCTGTGATCACAGCTCAGTGCTGTCATGTGGCTGTCACTCCATCGCTACAGTCACACCTACACAGGGTATCTCTTCACTCACTCCATGTCCCCGTTTAAACATCCTGTAAGGTGCTGTTCCGCTCTTATACGTAATGTTACGGCTGGAATGTTAAATGCACGGCTTGTAATTTGAAGTTCGGGTAATAAACCATCCTGATTATTCCTGCTAGTTGCAAACTGGGAAATATCTGTGATGCAAATAAGCTGTGTGTTGAAAATTACACCATGGAAAAGTATCAAGACTCCACTATAATAAGAGACTGAAAGCATGATAAAGATAACTGCTACATTCATGTCCTTAGCATTGTCTGCATTATTGATGGATAATGGAGACCCCACTCCAATTAGAAATATATGCAAGTAATAAACTTATAAACATGTTTCATTGTTCCCAAAGAGATACATAACTTCAATTTAGAACCTCGTATGAAGTTGAGCCAATTTTATATTAACATAAAATAAATAGTGTATAACCTATTGCTGATTTCATTAACACTTTATAATGTGTTAATGAAATCACTGTGTTAATATTGTTTATTGCATCGTGTATTTGGCATTTCTTTGAGTTCACTTCAAACCTGAGAAGTGTGAGTGTGTAAAACAGAGCAGACTTTGTGTACTTTGTGTTTTGCCTTGGCCTGAATGGCACCTTACAGTATTTAATCCACAAGAATAAGGGGATTGAAGAGGCTGTGGTAGCTGTTATGGTTTGAGTGGCTGCCAGGGCAGTGGGGCGGTAGCAGAGGCAAGACTGTGAGTTATGTGCCTCACTCGTGGACTCATATTTCTGAAGCTGGGTGCATGTCTGGCCATGCACGGCAGCACAGCACAGCACTTCCTAAGATCCTGTTTGTAACTGTCTGTGGAACAAGAGCCCAGGGGAGGAGCCCGCTTAAACTCACTCACCTTCACCGCCAGCCTCAAATCCATCCCTGTGCAAAAAACAAGCTCTTAAAAATATACAGGCACTAAGTAAAGTATGCACACGACACACAAACACAGCACAGGGTCAGCCAGGCACACGAGGGCCTTGGCAAAAGTAAAAAAAGAGTCATCCTCAAAGGACCAAGTGTCAAATAGGCATGCATGAAAAAGCTCAAAGAGCACTTTGCACTGCATACATGATGCGCAGTCAAGGTCAAACCACAGCCTTTCCCAATGGCAACTGCTCCATTCACCTTCAAGGATCAGCAGCTTTCATATGGAGCTTTGCATGTCTTCTCCATAAACACACTATGCTCTTTGTGTCCACAACTCAGAGAATGAAAAGTCCTCCACAGATGCTGTAGCAGAGTCCAAATGCAGGCGGCGCTGTGTAGGCAGACATACTGTAGCGGTAAGCAGGCGGGCTCAGGAAACGATGATGAAGTGTAGCATTAGCACAGTGATTAACTCCTTCTCCTGCTCTTCCTTCTCTCGTTCAGAGCCATTTCCTCCCAGTGTGGGACGGGAGGGGGCCTCTGATCATTCCCCTGACACACCGTCCATCTGTGTGCATGAGCTGGCAGCAGCATGGCTTCTTCAACAACGTGCTGCTAAGACTCAGTTCCTCACTCCAGCACAAACCTTTCCCTCAGTCTCTCCAACTGCTCTGAAACTTTGATGAGATACTGTGCCATTTGGCTTGACATGATGTTAACATTCTTCAGAGTCTGAGAGTATACAACAACAACTTGGATCTATGTGCCATACAGATGCAAAGTAATAAATATTTCATGCCATTGAAGTCAATGCTGCTATATCTATATGTATCACCTCTGGGAGAAGCTTTCTCCCCACGACCTAATAAGGCAGATGCAATACAAATGCATTGCATGGTTTTAGCTGAATCACGCAACTAAAATTCTATAACCCATTATAGTTTGGATTTCATGCACATACTATACAAGACCGATATCTGACAATGTGTTTGTCAGATGGTATATAATAGAAAGGTCAAAATCCAAAATAGTTTCTCCTCACCACAAAGAATTACTCTACAGGAAAGGCCTTGAGTGGATGATATGTGAAACTTCACCAGAGCAGACATGTGGGCTTCTGTATGGTCACGGCAGGTAACAGGGAGCAGAGTTTGGCCCACAGCCTTCCCAACAGCGATCAAAGGACCAGGTGGCGCTGGCAAATGACCTGCATTAAATGGAGCAGTAGTTGCTCCTCTTCACCAGAGAAGCCATGCTGTAATCACAACCCACTCATATCCGATTGCATCACCAGCCACGAGGAAGGAAAGTCCTGTTGTCCCCACAGGTGCACAAAGACCAGAGAAGATAAAGCGGCGGGTGTAAAGGCAGTGAGGTAAAAACACAGAATGAGTCAGGCTCCTGTTATTAGGGAGTCTGGAAGAAGCAGACTCCTCCAGATGACAATAACTGGGGCTTATGATATTGTACTGTGAGAACCAATTTCACCCTTGTTACCAATAATGCCTGAGTTCATTGTTAGTGGAGCAGTTGCTCCTTTGTGTGACCCAGATGCACTTTTATTTTGGAATGAAAGAGGTTTAATACTCTGAGAAGTAAGTACATTTGGTGACGGATCTATTTCAGCCTTATTAGTTCATCTAAAATAAGAATCGAGACCATAATTCAATGCAGGATTTCTGAACACATACAGTAGACACAGCCTCTGGATTCATGATTAATGTTCTGAGGACTGCACATCATGTGCATCTATGGGAGCTTTCAATCTTTCAGTAACATGAAATAATAACATAGGTTGATAACATTCTGATGAAATGTGATGCCATAAAGCTCCTTAGTTATTGAAACAGATATGTTCTTATTTTTTTAAATGTTTTAGAGGCTCCACGCTTTTGCACACTGCCGTCCGCTTCAATAACAAGCACATTTATGGTGTTGGTAAATTTTGTAGACCTTCACCAGTTATTCCCATCATTATTAAGTTCCCTTGAGTTAAACGGTTTCTCTTGCTGGGATGTGCACATCTCTGCGTGCACTGTATTTCTCTTTTGTGCCCTTATAAATTTCACACAATTACATGCCAAGCTGGCTTTTTTGTCAAGGTGTAGAAATTACAGCTACCTTCTCTCACTCTTCTCATCCTGGCATCGCTCATCTATTATTCAGTTTTTAATTTGGCTATTTGAGGTTTGTTCCCTCGTTTGGCGACAAGTAAGCCCCTGCTAAACAGGCACCTTATCCATTACACTAAATCTAGCACACAGCAGACACCATTGTGGGATTGACCATTAGAGAGGTTATTGATATAACCACCATTCCCTCTTGTCATTATCTCTCTAATTTATCTGTAATTGTATAGCAGCTTGTTAGACCTGCCTCACCTTGGAAGCAGAAAGAAAACATCTTTACTTTTTGAAACACATCCATGTTTGTAGAGTTCACACAAAACACTATCCATCAAATTATGGCCGGATGAAATTCATCTGAGGAAAAGCCAAGTCGCCTCTTTGTTAAAGAGCTTTTGTGTTTCTGACAAAAGTCCCCAAATTGCGATTGGCTTTTATGCAGGGACCATAGCACTTGTGGTCATCACTTGAGGAAGATGGACCTCCTCGCCTGAACTGCAGACTCCTATAATCATATGCAATTGTGGTAAAGCGATGAGAAAGGCATGGCTTTTTACCAGGATCTATGGCTCATTGTATCCAATGTGTCACATGAGCCAACGATCAATAGTACTCAATAGTCTATTAATAGGCAAGTCCTAGCTGCGTTCAGAATATCGGCCTGGCCCACTAGACCAGGCCTGCAATAGAAAAGAATCCATGCTTTAACGTTAACAGCAAACGCCTCTTAATCATCTATGTTTTCAGATTGAATCCACCCTCTGAGCTTGTGCTCATTTGAGGACCTGACAAGAATTACTCCTCCTGTACAAGGACGACTGTTTAAGCAGCTGTACATCAACATATTTGAATATTTCCTTCATTGAGTCCTATTATGACCCTAAACACCTCATATGGACTAATTAAAACAAAGTGACCCTCAATGCAATGGCCTTTCTCCTCATTCAGCATAATGATAATAAGCTCGTCTGATACCGGAGTGATTACTGGCAGGCACCTGGCCCCGCAAAGAGCTCCTCCATCTTAAGTGTAAGTGATCCGCCTAATAGAGCGTACTGTGTAGTTATCTGATAGTGACAGTCACCAAAAGCAGACTGCACCCGGCTGCTCAGGCACACAATCAAAGCACACCTGAGTAATATAAAACAAATATTACTATTGATCGCCAGTCGTTAAATTCCTCCCACCTCTAATAATGTTGAAAAACAAATAGCTCTTCGATTCTTCCAGTCCTCACTTTCTCGCAGAGATTACTGCATCAATTCAAGTCGAATAAGATCTCTTAATGTATTTTTATGTGTTTGTTTCAATCTATTGCTTAATATAGACTACATACTCCAGTTAATCGATAGTGTGTCCGGTAAAGTTGAGTGGTTGCCTCAGTGGGGAGTTTGGCTTCACCAGTTTCACCATGTTGCTCTGAGCCATGTCTGGGAGGTGATCAGAGTCACATGATCTCCTGAGTGCGAGCCCCGCCCCCCTGTACCAGGACGAAGTCTGTCACATTCGTCTTTGTCAGGCTGCCGTGTGCCACCCATTCATCAGGACTGCCAACAGTGGCATCCCTCTCCTCTGTGCCCGGAGACTGGGCACGCCCGGACTGAGAGCGCCCCACACACATGCTGCAGAGACACTCTGATGGATTCATTTATTAGGCTTTTCATTACCCACGGGGCCAATGGTGGATTGCAATGCTTCCAATGCCACTGCAATGCATAGCCATTCCTACCCTCCAGGCCCGCTGCCAGTACAGACAGCAGACAGTCTTCCCGACTTGTTTCATTAGCAAAACACCAATAGGCAAACCAACTTAAAAGTGAACACAAAGTATTGTGATTAACCATTAACAAGGTTAAAACATTTGAACATGGCACAGCCAATTGTTTCAACAAACAAAATATTAGGGTATTTAATTGTATCTTTAACGACACCTTCACTTAAATGACATAGTAAGAATGTGCTCGCCTGATTTTTTATATGCCAATTTAAAATCCCTCTTTTCCCGAAGTTCACATGAGCCAAATGAGTGCTTCTTTGTTTCTTTGTTATGAACCTTGCTTAAAGAGCCTGCTCCAAATCAGTTCTTTTGTGTGTGACAGGCTGCAGATTCCAAAGCAATTGGAGAGAAACCAACCACAGACTATGTGTGAGGATTGAGTTCAATACTGCCTGCAAAACTTAGTATTATTGATTGCCCAGGATGGTAAATTCAATATAGTCTAAAGAAGTTAGAATTGTGGATCTACAAGCCAAGCAATTCAATAGTGTTCATCCCAGGCAATGGTGAGGATCTGGGGCCTGTCTGATTCAATCCGAGCAGCTGTGGAGAAGGCTAGGAGGGATGGAAGAGCCAACAAATGCAATACACTGCAGCTTGAGAAAGGATCTTAGGAGTCAACAAATTTAATAGAGCCGCTTTATCCGTTCATATGTTGGTGCGACTACAGTACACTCGCGTACTGAGGGGGAGTCCCATCCAAAGCTCAAAGGACTACTGGTGTTTATCCCAAATAAACCAACATTTTATTGCGTCCAAGTCAAGTCAAGCCCTGGTTTAATTATTACAAATCCACCACATGTGTTCTGCCTGTATGCCAGTAATGAAGCTTGCTATAAAATGAAATGGCTCAAAGCGACTTACTTAAACCTTGATGGCAGTGTGGAAATAAGGTTAACATTGTGATAAATATGGATATACACTACCCTTCCTGTCTGCCAGTGGTCTCGAGGGGACAGGCAGATGGGTAAAACTGTCACCGCGATGGAGAGGGATGCTCATTTGAGGAAAATGGAAAAAATACCAAATCGGTCAAAATCCTAAGAGACAAAAATGCACAATAGCAACAAGGGTTTTTCTTCTCACCCTGGACTTACACAATCAAGGCTGAATTAAGTGTGGCATAAATTAGAAAACGATAACATACATCTCCGCGCTGGGGTATAAAGCTGGGGATATGCTGTACAACACTCAAGAGGGTACAATGCCTCTATTCAATTATGCCGATCAGAATAATGACTAGGTTTGATTCATCCCGATCAAAAGACATCTGAATATCATTGAAAACACAAGACGAAAAGGAAGTATGAATGTATTTTAAATAACTGCGCTGTACATTTAACCTACAGTTTCTGATTTGAGTTTGCAAAGGACAAGGTGGATTGTGGTGTGTGAAACTTGGAAAACAAGAAATGTCACTTGCATCCAATCTAAGTCTAGGACATGTACTTTTTCCACATTTTAGGTTTAATTACAGAAGTGAATTAACTTTTGATTTTTACTATGAGTTTCAGCAGTATTGTTGTGTCATAGATATACAATTTCATTATAATTCATAGAATCTACAAATAAATAAAGAGTATCCATTCAACACATTAAAGTGAGCAGTAAGAAGAGGTAGAATCGTGCGAGGACTGCTCAATTTAGTGGTGGGGGACCCAGAATAACACAGGCAACGCTTGTAATCCAAACACTATGCCGCACGGTCAAGCAGCTAATAAAAATAGGCTGGTGGCAGATCAAGCCGCAGATTCAAATACATCCAAAGCCTA